CAACGTTTATCAAATAAATAGCAGAGGATTGAAGATTACCCTCTGTTTAAATATACCATAATAGTAAAGGTGGTAGCGATAACTGTGTCTATAGTTAAATGTTTATTATCAACCCGAAAGAGGACTGAAGTGTATCTCTCAAAACGTCGCTATAAAGTTTATTTCTTTACCAGAGGTTCCTGCATATTAATCCTTCCAAAAAGATAAGCTAGATAGGTGATGGCTACTTTTATCACCCTCAAAACTACATTGCAAATTACGCTTAATCCATTATACTTTACAAATGAAAAACGTTGATCTTTACACTGCGTTTGTAACGACAAGGCCAGAATCAGGCATTGCACAGCAAAATAGAGGAAAAACAGTCACTTTACTTTTCCCCAGCGGCAGGAAGACGATAAAAGTATAAGAAATTTTGCAGTAAAAACCACTTACCAGCAAAAAGATTTTCCGCACTATTTAGTTGCCCTTCATCACTCCTCACTCTGTAACTCTTTTTTTTGCCTTTTTATCTAGAACACAACCAATACTCGGTGAGCCAAGACTCCTGATGACTTCTGTCTTGTAGTTACAGAGGACAAACGGTGTCGTGACTAATGCAAAAAGCGAGAGTTTGCACGCCCAATGGAAACCGATCAGCGACCGCTGCTACAGGGGCAACCATGTATATGTCGCGACGGCACGCGAAATGGCTTGAAGGAGGCAGTAGACTGTAACAACTCAGACATGGCTCTGAGGGGAAGCTCTTGGAGACTATGGTGGAAAGATCATTACGACAACGACAAGTACAAAAGAGGCAAGGTAGCAACAAGATTATTATTGTTCTCATCGTCAGAGTCAGTGTTCTCACTACTTCTATTCTCATTTCCTTTCGAGACAACGGTTGTAGTTGTTGATTGTTTATCCTCCTTTTCTCAGTTGTGCTTCCAAAACTTTTTAGTTTGATTTTGGTATAGAATTTTGGTCAGTTAAACGTTCATTAGTTTGTATTTTTTTGGGTTAAAGTTTATCTGATTAAAGTTTATTATTTATTTTGACCTTGTGATAATTCTTTGTAATAAGGTAGCACTGAGGTTTAATCGCCAAAGTTACTTTTCTATCAATACATTCAATATTCTATACATTGTTGAGGTTTAGGTTAGTGAGCAATGCTCAGTGATCTTTCCTTACACCTTGTATTATGAAAAAATCGTTCCTCGTTTGTTCGTAGTAATCAAAGATTTCAACAAATAAAGAATCATTCAAGGCATTAAGCGTCCAACAACGTTACCACTCCGCGTCAATTCAAAAGGTTACAGTCCTCAAAATATACAGCTGCAAGCGTCGGTGACTACAATTGCTTGCGGTTTAAAACTTGTAGAAACAAGGATCCCGGAAGGGACGCTGTAAAGGAGTTGTGATCAGCTCCTCAATTAAAAGGAGTGTCGATGGTCACGACAGTAAACAACCAAATTTTGCATATTAGTATGAGGGCTGATCGGTCCCAAAAGATCGATAAGGAGGAAGGAGCAAAAAAGGATATACTTTTTCTAACTGTTGGCCAGCTAGTTTCCTCTCTGCAGCTTTAAACGTTTAATATTTTTCAATTCTGACTTAGCCCATTATCGATTGTTATTTTTGTTATACTTATTACTGTACGTCATTTACCAATAATTTTATGATCAAATGTTGTGTTCTTCAAGTTGGAAGTTTGTCCACATTCTAATGCATTCTACGATCGTTACAACGACACAACTCATTGGCAGAAATAGAAAAGTTTTTTTTCTATATTTGTTACATGAGCAGGAATATACTAACTGACGACAGTAATATTTCTGGCTAACTACTCAGTGACTTGAACCAAGAACTGTATTTGAGTGACTTGCAAAATTAGCCTATCGCGAAGCACTAAGTTATCGCTAAATTCAATACTTACAAAAGAATCGCTTTACCTTATTTTATCGCTGCCGCCGTACTCAGCTTGCTTTTACTTCGGTTGCTGAATAGTAATTTAGACTATACAAGAATGAGCAAAGAAATTATTCTTTTGGTTGCCCCTAAGCAAAAACGGATTCGCAAATACTGAAAAGTCAGAAATTATCAGCTCCTAAACCTATCCCTAACGAACCATTTAGGACTGTTGAAGAATTTTGAATTTATTTAAAGATTGGAAAGCTTTGAACTGCAAATTACAAACGCTCTTCATCAGCTTATTGTGGCTAATAACTTCTGGATAAAAATTATTAGCAGTGGTAAAGATGGAAGAAGAAGTTGGAGAAGAAGCGGCTTACACAGAAATGAGCGTTACGCAACCACTGTTACTCACCGATTTAGACGCTGGTTGATATACAGTGCGCTACCAAATCAGCAAAAACTGTATTAGATTCATTAACGCCACCTACTCAAAGCGGTAACGCCGCACCACTGTTAGTTCTACTACAGTTCACGCTCAGCAATCTACAATGTCATCAGCTACCGCTACTGACAAAAGAGGAGTCGACCAAGTTATTGTTTCCATTGACTCTGAGCACTCCATCAACATATCTACAAAAGCACCACTCTCTCAATTCAAACTGCTAAAATTTACAGGGCGTCTAAGAAATTGGCTCACATTTTGGAACATTATCGAGCAAGTGGTTAATCTCAACAGAAGCGTTCCCACTATGATCACATTCATTTATTTGATATAGTTTTTGGTGGAAGAAGCAAAGGCTTTCATATCTAACATTGTTTCGAAACAAGAAAATTGTCTTGTTCTGGTTCAAAAACTCAAAGAGGTTTATGGTGATAATCGTCGTTTAAAGAAAGCATTGCAGCGCCAATTGCGTTTTTTCCAACCTATCTTGCGAGTACCTCAATCGCCTCAAACTTGGCAGCAGACGAATCTATAATTCGACAGTTAGAAACACTGCGAGAATCGCTGAACTACCCATTTGTCAAAAACTTGCTGGGGAACCAATAAGAGAAAAGGCCCATTTGGCTGAACTAACAGACCCCCAATGGAATGTCACTCAATAAAGAAGATTTTTGAATAACCTTGCTAGAGTCAAACTGAACGCACTGTCAGCGTCACGTCTGCCATAGCTGAAAACGGACAGAAAGATCTAAAAAACAGTAGCTTTCTAGTCAAGAACGCAGTCATCAAAAATGGCTATTCAGTTTCAAAAAAATCAGGGCAGGCCTAAGTTATCGCAGAATTATACTTTTGCAAAAGTAGCCACTACCACGACCAGCGCGATCAGTACAAAACCCCCACCAAAGAACAAAACGACCAGGTAAAATACCTGAATTTGTGCTGCAAATTTTTGCGATTAGGCTATGCTTTAAAAATCGTATCGAGTCAGAAACAAGCCGTGTTTTTATTGTGCAAAGAACCATCTTAGCGCCCTGTGTCCGGTACACAAAGTCCAGGAATTATTAGTTAGTTAATGGCAGCCTCCTACAAGTGCTGCATCAGATGATCAATCAAAAACAGTTGCGTTACACTCTTCACCAACTCAACCAACGACAGTTAAGTCCTCCGATGAATCCGAAGTCTTACTGATGTGTGGAAAAGCAGTAATTTACTACTCTCGATATCTACAGCATAAAGAAAAACTACGATCTTTTTTGACAGTAGAAGTTAGCATTCCTGTATCAACTGAGATTTGGCCAGACGGCTTGGTTTCATCGTATCGAAACAGAAAGGGGTGTTTATGTGCACTTTTGGAACAATAAATTCATAAAGAATGGTGTAATACGAAACTGAGGGGATGTTGGAAGACGGTAAATCATAGGTCATAAAACTACATGCTCTACGAGCGATCACACAAAAGCTGCAAATAGCCAAGATTGACAGCAAAAAAATCACCGACCAAGACAAACTTGACAACGACGTGGAAGGTGCAAAAAATACTGACTGGGCTTGACTGCTACTTCGACTCCATGAAAAGTGTGGCAAAGCTAGACTCCGCAATGTACCTGATCGATACAAAGGAGGCCTCTTAATTATCGTGTCAGACAGCAACAGTAAGAGGCGAGAGTAGAGGATTTATGAAGTATACGAATTCCGACGTTAATAGAACACGGCCTACTATCTGCTTCACCAGGCAGTTTCTACGTCGAAAAAAAGGACAACCAAACTTCAGATCGTGTTGGACGCCAGCGCGAAATTGACAGTGGGAATCAACCTAAACATCGCTCTACCAAGGCCCAGTAATCCTACCACAGCTCTACGGAATTTTTTTAAGAGCACAAAGCACACCGATTATTATTTTGAGAGATATAGAAAAGGCTTTTTTCCAGATTGCTCTTAATCTAGAAGATCGTTATGTTACACGGTCCGTGTAAAAACAACGCCCAAAAACCTCTATTTTTCAACTTGATGGTTTAGTGGGTTAAACCTCAAACTTGGGTAATTAAACCCTTTATGACACTAAACATGTCGCTATCACGAGTCAGTAACAATTAACCTAAGTTATTCGTAACGACAACAAATAATCAACAAGAAAACAATAATAATAAAAACAAAGAATTGAACAGCCGATCCAATCTTTAGGCCCACTCGACCAGCTCATCGGTTGACAATAAACTAAAAAGACACGCAACTGACTTTTCTGTTAGTAAAAAAACAAACAATCTATGCTTGGGACAACTGTCGCCCAGCCTACAGCGACGTTACCTCAA